TTACAATTTTAAAAACACAGCTGAAAATGGGGACTCAAGAACTAGAGCCTAGATTGGGAAACAGCCTTGCTGTCCTTTTTTGTTTGTTTTGTTTTTTGAGACAGGGTTTCTTGTGTAGCCCTGGCTGTCCTGGAGTTAGCTCTGTAGACCAGGCTGGCCTCAAACTCACAGAGATCTGTCTGCCTCTGTCTCCCGAGGCTTGCACCACCACCGCCTGGCCAGTGTTGATGTTTTATAATAAGGTTACAGGGATCCTGTGAAGTTGGGCATGCCAGTAAGGATCTGGAGGGAAAGCTAAGCATGGTGGCACACACCTGCAATCCCAGTGTTTGGGAGGCTGGAGCAGGAGAACTTCTGTGACTGCAAAACTTCTGTGACTGGACTACAAAGAGTTCTAGGCTAACCAGGGCTTCATAGTGAGGCTTTATGTGGAATCAAAGGAAAACAAAACAACAACAACAAAAAAAAAATCACACAGCCCCCAAGATCTAGAGAAACAAAAAAGTGAGGAGAAATGCTTGTACTCTAGTGTAGAGAGCCGTGGAAGCCCTGGAGGGTGTCAGAGAAATGAACTCAACAGCACTGAGTTTGACCATATTGAGGGAAAAGTGTGAGGACTGGGGGACGAACTACAGTACTCTGCAAATGCAAGACGGCCCTGTGTGTATGCGCACACACGTACAATGTGGATAACAGCAGGGACCTTCAGTGATCAGGTCACCAGAAGTCATGACTGACTTGAATGTTTTCTAGGTATGAAGTAGGGGCCGACCTACCTGATCGCTCTGGCCCATTTCCAAAGTTTCAGTCACACCTGGGAGTGTATATGGAGTGTGTGCACACTCAGGTGCCCCATGAGTGTGACTGCTCTCCACCACATAACTCCTGTTGGAGTCTGTGGTTAGCAGGTATGGACAATGCTGTGACATGATGTCTGAGGTGACTTTGGCCTCTGTGTGCGGGTGTAGCTGAGAAGCATGGGATTAAGTCATTCAGGGCCCTGTGGGAGTCAGTCATACCAGGTGTGCCCACAGGTGTGCGTGTGCGTGTGCGTGTGCATGTGCGTGTGTGTGTAGAAGGGGAGGTTGGGGAGGATCCAATGGTAAGGGAAGCTATTTTGTGAAGGAATTTTGCTCTTTCAGGCTCATTAAGTGAAAGGGTAGACAAGTATATGGCTGAGTAGGGCTCTGATTTTCAGTAAGACGCACCTGTATAGACAGATGCCATGAACCAGACCCCTTCCTTCCTTCCTTCCTTCCCTCCTTCCTTCCTTCCTTCCTTCCTTCCTTCCTTCCTTCCTTCCTTCCTTCCTTTCTATGTGCATTGGTGTTTGGCCTGCATGTATGTCTATGTGAGAGTATCAGATCCCCTGGAATTGGAGTTACAGACAGTTGTGAGCCACCATGTGGGTGCTGGGAATTGAACTCAGGTCCTCTAAAAGAGCCCCAGTGCTCTTAACCTCTGAGCCATCTCTTCAGCCCCCAGACCCCTTTCTTATACACCAGTTTATTGAGTTCTCTGTATTGAATTGCACAGTATATACATTTTTTGAGACAGGACCTCACCTGGGTTATAGTGCCTTAAACTTACTCATCTTCCTGCTTCTACCTCTTCAGTGTTAAGCTTCTAGGCATGCATTACTATGTCTAGTTTAGGCAGCACTGGAGACCAAAACCTCTATGGTGCATGCCAGGCAAGCCCTCCACCAGCTGAGCTACACCTCAGCCCAAGTGGTACCTATCATTGTAAAGAAGTCAATCTCCAAGCAGAAGCAGACCCCAGGATTTGGTGCCCAGTGCTCTTGCCCAGGGTTTTAAACCCCTTAACATGTGGGAGCCGGGGACTACAGCATCATCAGGAGACTGAGAGAACATCAATGCTTTAAGACTGGGTGGTGGTGCACACCTTTAATCTCAACACATGGGAGGCAGAGGCAGGTGGATCTCTGTGAGTTTGAGGTCAGCCTGGTCCTCGGAGTGAGTTCCAAAACAGCCAGGACCGTAACAGAGAAAATAATGTCTTGAAAGAAGAAACAAAGAAAAAACTGGGTGTGTCCTTTAGGGCACTCACACACCTTTGGGACCCCCCCCCCCCGTGAATGTCCATCTGCTCCAGTTCTCAGCCTCCATCCCTGACCTCATCCTGGTCCACCTCCCACCATAGGCAGGCTCAGCTGTTACCTCTCTCTGTGTCTCTCTCTCTGTCTCTCTCTCTCTCTGTGCATGCACCACCTTGTCCCTGCAGCTGCCTCCTTGAGGCCCAGGAGCAGTTCTTTGGGCACCGTCCATGCTTCCCCAGCTAGGTGCTGCAGTTATTGTCCTGGTGCAGGAGGGCGAGGGGGCGGCCTGTGGGCGTCATGACGCCGGGCTGTCTGCCCCTGCTCCTCCCCTTGTTATTACCTCTCCTCCAGGCTCCCATTAGCCAGCCTGCCCCAGAGGCTTCGCAGCACTGTGCTTCTCGGCACCTTTGTTCCTTAATTATCACTGGGGAGCCCCACTCACCTGCCTGCCACTTTCTAAGAAGCTGTCTGGCTCCCCTTTGCCGCTCTGCACCTCCAGGACCTAAGCCCCTGCACCCCTGGGGTGGGGGCTGAGTCTAGCAGTGGCTTGCCCCAGCCTCCAGCAAACAACAGTGCCTAGGGCTTGGCCCAGCCTCAGCCCCTGGTAGAAACCTTTTCTTTTTGTTCCTTCTATCTCCTCTGGGAAGTCTACCCTGATTAACCTGTTTTAGCTATCAGAACTGATAGGGACTTTAAACCATCTGGCTACCTGGATTGGACCATCTACAGAAGGTACTGAATGAATAATCAGAGAGTAGAATTAACCTTCGCTTGAATGCCTCTTTGAATGGGCAACTCACTCCCTACTAAGTCAGCCAGTGTTACCGTAAAACGGATGGGGCTGTTAAAAAAAAAAAAAATCACTGTTTCTTCGTACATTGCTAACCCCTCTTGCTAGCACCCTCTAATTTTCATGGATTTTCTAGAGCCTCCTTGCTAGGTTTCTGAGTCTACACTCAGTCCTGTCCTCCATGCTAAGGTTCACGATTATCCACCATGGACAGGAAATCTCCCTGACTGTCCACAGGCGCTGGGTACCCTGCCCCACTCAGGGGTGCATCCTTACACCAAGTGCCCAGCTCCAGCCCCTGGCTTTTTCCTGGTGCAGGCCTCTTCTACTGTTGTCCAGCAGAAAAGGAAAAGGAGGAGGTGAGGGGTGAGATGCCTCAGGCCAACAAAGCTCCCAACAATTCACAACCTCCAACCACTGTGGAGGACGGCTCTGGCTGCACACAAGGTCGGGGCTGGGGACATGGGGGGATGGGAACCTGGGGAGTCAGTAGGAGCCCCCAATCTCCTTTCAGCATAGGAACCCTGGTGATTACTCCCTGGTGCGTTGCATTGTGGACACAAGGACTTGTAGGCTGACTCCAGAGGGAGAGACAGGAGCTGAGCTGACCCATCTACTCATAGGGGTTCCATACCTTGGGTCTCTAGAGTGATGTGCTCCTCTGGGGGGGAGGGTGCAGGGGAAGCTAAAGATATTCTCAGAGCTTACTTCTGTCTTTGCATTACCCTCTCTCCTTGCATCACAGATGGACCAAGGAGGAAAAAGACAGAAGGAGCCAGTGTTCCATTCTATGGTTCCTACTCCTCCCATCCCTCCTCCACTCTCCTCACTCTCCATTCTAGTCTCGAGACGGTAGCATGAGATGGGCCTTCACTTTGTAGCTCAGGCTAGTCTCAAACCCTAAGAGCTTCTTGCATTCCTTACTGGTATGTACCGCCATGCCTGACTCCATACCCGTTCCAGTCCACTTGAAGGGTTCCTCCTCCACCCCGCCCCTCCCTTCTTTTTCACAGTACTGTGGACTGAACCTAGGACCTTGCGCATGTGAAGCAGGCAATCTATCCCCTACACATATTCCTCCAGCCCATAGGTGGCCTTTTAAAGCATGCCTTTGTGTTCTTTAAATATGTCTTAGTCTCCCCTCAGACTGGGGTTCTGTGAGAGTAGAGTCATGCCTCCACGCTCGGACTGGGCCTCTTGGGGGATAGAATACTGTGTCTTCTCAGGAAGCAAACTGGCATCTTCCCTTAGGCTTGGGCCCAGGAAGTGTGGGGACAGCAGCTCCACCCCGAGACTTGGCTCTGGACAGCTGATGTCCCAGGAGTGCCTCAGGGACGCCACAGGGTGCCTGGCACACGCTGAAGGGTGCACTGGACAAACAGCAGCTGGGGTGGAGGACTGGAGTCAGAAGGCCACCTCCAGCTACCAGACCGTGACCTCAGCAGGCTGCCTGTGTTGCTGTCCGGATCTGACTCAGTCCATTCCCTGGGCCTGCTGTTGGGCGGCCATGCCCAAAGTCAGCCCCAGGAGGCCACTAGCTTTCAAGAGCTCCACCCTGACAGAGGCCATTTCCAGCCCTGCTTGCCCACTAGAGGTTTCAACAGGATTCGGGGAAAACTAGGGGGCAAAGGTCACTCTCTGGCCACTTGCTCTACCACCTTGGACCTTTCTCTCTCCAACTGAAAGATTTGTCTACAGGAAGATTTCAGCCTGGGGTAAATGTGGTTTTGGACAGGCACCCTCTTCTCAGAGTCCCAGATACAACAGGCACCCCACAGCAGGCTGGGGCATAGGCATCCCCGAAAGGCAAAGGAAGCAGTTTCTCCACAATGGCTATTCCTGAAGTCACCCCAGAATCTTCTTCCTTAGATAAAAATGAAGCCAACTCTTTTAGAGTGGTCTAGAGCCGGGTCTAGATGTCTGGAGGATTCTGATTGTGGAGGGCACATTCAGGAAAAAGAGAGCATTGACTGCGGCTGACATTAGCACTCATGCCTTACTTAGCCAAAGGACTCTAACTCAGTGTGCCTCAGAGGGTTCTTCCTAGCTAACCTGCCCCCAATCTAGTAGCCAGCCTCCTGCATTACCCAGAGGCCATGTACCCTGCCCGCCTCTGGAACCCCCACATCTCCTCACTTATCCCACTCCAGGCTGAGCCCTCCTTCTTTTTAATTTTGCCATTGAATTTATTGATTTATTTGCTTGAGGAGGGCTAGGCCACACATGTGCCATGGGATGCATGTGGCCCAGTCAAAGGACAATTGACAGGAGTCAATTTTCTCCTTCCACTATATGGACCTCAAGGATCAAACTCAGGACGTCAGGCTTGGTGGCAAGCACCTTTACCCACTGAGCCATCTCACCAACCCGAAGTCACCTTTCTGTAGATCATGCCCCAAGGTCTTTGCACCGGCCATTCCTTCCAAGTGGAGTGATCTTCCCAACATTTACCCTTATTTTGCCACTCAAAACTTAGGTGATTTCCCATGACTTTGACCCATGACCCATTTGAGGTGGTGTCCCTGGGTCTCTGGGGCTGACATCTCTCTGTGTCTAGTTTCACTCTTCCCTTCAGCTCTTCTCATACTTGCAATGAGGTTCTGGTTCCTCGATTGTCATCTGGCCCCTCTTCTGCTTGGTGAGATCCTGGATCCTTGGTGCCTAGCATGGGGTTGGTCTAACCAGTGCTCCAAAGACATCTGCTAAGTTAAGGTGCATCCTGGGGAGCAACACACACATAACCCTTAGACTGGCAGAATTGGTACAGAGAAAATCCCCAGAGACAGCTTTACTGGAATTGAGGGAGGAGAGCCAGATGGGGTTGTGGAACTGGCATGCCCTGCCACCACCTCAGAACACAAGTCTGGGTATGATAGGCAGATAAGACAGGTCCCCCCCCCCACACACACACACCATCTACAATTCTCTAAATGCCCACAATCCAGATGGGACAGGAAAGTGTGCTCCTCAAGTCTTGGGGCCAGGCACTCCACTGAGCTCTGAGACTAGCTTTCCAATGCATGGGGGTCTTTCTACCTGGCCACTGTGTCAGACCACAGGTTACAACCCCAGGCCCTCATTCTACCTATGGTCCAGTGTGGCTTCCCTATTCTTCCCTGGGGGAGGCAGGACTGAACCTCTCACTCACACAGCCCTCCATCTCATCAACAGCTGGACAACAGGCTTGGGACTCTTCATCTCTTCAGTCCAAGCCACCACCTCGGACCTTCAGAGCAAACCCACCAGAGGGTAGTCAGCAGGGCAGGTGGGGAAAAGGGCCCCATGTTCTTACCCATATCCTCCGCCAGGGACTCCAGGTTGTACCGGCAAGTGCATGGGCTGCAGGCAGCTCCACTCGGGTTGCTCCTGCTTGCTCTTTATTCTGTGACCTTAGAGAACTCAACTTTTTCTCTTTCTCCCTCTATAAAATGGAAATCATGGTGTTTATTTCGGCAGGTTGCTTGAAGACTAACTGGGAAAAGATAATAAGCACTTAGCAAAATTCTGAAAAGCACGTGTCATCTAATAAATGGGAGGCTGGTTTAACCTCTACTCCCTTCCTGCTGTACCCCTTTCCTACACTGATGGAAGCTCGTCTGCCTGGCTCTCAGGGGTTTCCAGTGCTCATCCTGATCTTTCCAATCCTGTCTCCAACTCCTGATTTCTTTACTGTGTCCCCATCGAGCATGTCCTGCTTATCCCTCTGCCACACTCTTGGCCAAGCTGCCCTTCTTGTACCCTTCCCCAGGAAGCCTTCCTGGGCTCGCTTCTATTCAGACTGTTCTTTCTGCCCCAGCCTGGCACAGTAGCTGTGCTGTCAGAGTGGCTGGCTATTTCCATGTCTACAAATGTCACCTCTTCTACCCAGATTGGCATCTGTGGGCACAGAACCCCTCCTGGGCCTCCCTAGAATTTGCTGCAGCAGTAAACATATCTGACTCAGTAAATAATGAAACATCTACTACACTCTAGATCAATACATATGGCAGGGGAGCAGGTGTGGGAAAGGCTCCTGGAGGTATGAGGAACTGGGCTTCCTGGCACCAGAAACTGGACTTGGTACTCCACAAGCCACTCCTTAGTCCCCACCACACTGCTGGGTAGTAGCAGTCCCATTTTACAGATGGGAAGATGGGGGCTCAAAGAGGTGCTCTGACTTGCCCGACATCACATGGCTAGAAGCTGGTAGGGCAAGGTTTGGGGGAAGGCATTCCAGGGGTGCAGCCTGTTCGAAGGCTCCAAGGTGGAGGCCAGGGTGGTGATGTTGAGTAACAATGCACTGACTGATGGTGTGGTGAGGGCATGTCATGGAATGCACTGGTTTGCCCATTTGAAGAAGAAGGAGAAGGCTCTAGAATCTTTTTTTTTTTTTAACAACCTGAAGAAAGGTAGCAAGACTTTCTGAGCTAACTGGTTGTAGCTCCAGAATTTTCTTTGCTCTTTATTTAATTTTTTAATTAGTTAATTACTATTTTGGAGACAGGGTCTCATTATGTTGGCAGGCTGGCCTTGAACTCATTATGTAGCCTAGGCTGGCCTGGAACTTTTAGTCTTCCTGCCTCAGCTTTCTGAGTGCTGGGATGACAGGCATGTATGGCCCAGGCCTTGGAGGCTGAGTGGTGACACTGGTGATCTCGGGGTTCTGGACACACCCCTCTCTGTAAAGCAACTTCATCAGTCACATATCCAAGTGACTTTCACAAAGTCCCCATGTCACAGCCCCTGCAGCTGTCACACAGATGTTAGTCCTGTACATGTAGGGTCTGACCTATGCCTAGCAGTACTCAGTGAGGTGCCAGCCTGGATTCTGCCTTTCTTGGCACCTGACTCAGGACCCTTCCTGCTTCTCAGCCCCACTGGCTAGCCTCCCTGTGGGCAGCTGAACCCAGCTGGAATAACATGGCCCCTTTCCTCCCACGGGCACTGGACTATTTACGGCTCACTAGGGCCTTCACGCCCATGAGCTCACTGGAGCCTCCCTATCCGCCCTGGGAACCCAGAGGGCCACACATCAGATATCCATTTCATCCACTGGGAAACTGAGGCTGGACCCTAGCCAGGGACTGCCTAAAGCCCAACCTCTTGACTTTTCTATTTTCCCAACACCCCTAAGTTAAAGTGGGGAGTCTGGGGCTGGAGCCAGGTGGGTGGAGGGTTTGATCTGCTGAGTTAGCCCATCCCAAGAGCCGCAAGGAGCTGCAGGGGCAGCAAGCCAGGATGGCGGAGGCGGAAGTTTTAGTGTCTCCAGCCACTGGCAGGGCAAGGGCCTGGCAGAAACCCTTTCAGGGTGGACATGGGGACAGTAGGGCCTGCAGTTCAAAGCATACTTGGACTGGTTACCGAGGTGAAGGCAAAGGGGGAAAGGAGGCTCCAGCCTCCAAATTCAACCTTGGCAATGAGACATAGATGGTTGCATGTTGGAAGCAGCAAGAGGAACACCAGATAGACACCAGAGGTACTGGAGGGACACCAGGTAGATGCCAGGGCTACTTCCCATTCACAGATTTCTGAGGCAGAGTTCCTCTGACATGGGGATTGGGATCAATTCAAGCCCTCCCCTGTCATCTCACACAGAACTGGAATTCCTCGGTCCTTCCATGTCCCCTTTAACCCTTCAGACCTTCCAAGAATTTGTCCCCTCCTTCTTAGGTCCCGGTCAGTTACCCTTCAGGATTCTTTTCCCTCCTAGGAGGTTCCAAAGGGCCCTGAGTCCCTCCCAAAAGCCTCTAGGATCCTTGCCCACCCACCCCCCAGTCCAGAAAACTGTATGAATCTTTGTTCTGGGTCCTGAGAGGAGGAGTTCCGAGTCCCCTATAAGACTAAAGTATGCTTGGGGACAAGGACCCTGTCCTCTTCCCATCAAATGTGACAGCCTCCTGACTAGTTCTCTCTGCTTCCACTAGGGCAGGCTCTACCCATAGGGGGCGCCCACACAGTACTGTTGAGGCGCCTGCTGGCTCAGGGCACTATGAATCACCCTAAGGGAGATGGGTCTGGGAACCAGTATGTGGCACCCAACTGCTCCAGCACCCTTCGGTGGCTTGTGACAACCAGGAGGGAGAACTTTCAGACAAAGAGAAAGGCTTCTAATTTAGAGTAGGAGGTGGGCACTAGATAGCAGATATCTAAAAAGGGCATCTTGGCCTTCTAGGCTCAGAGAAGTGCCTTGATGCTCGGAAGACCATGTTGTCCTTGACCCTGAACTTACTGGTCTAGGCTTTTAAGCAAAGCTCCAAGCAAGCAATCCCTACATCTTTCCCCAAGTCTCTAGGAAAGAGTGATGAGTCAGCTGCGGCCATGAACTCACCCTAGACAGTAAAAACAGAAAACAAGCAGGCTCTCCTGAAGGAAGGGAGAGGGGGAGGGAGGGGGACAGGGATTTCCCATGCCTTGCAGAAGGCATCAGCATCCTTTGAAGTCCTCAAGAGTGAGGCAGCGTCCTTATGGCCCCTAGAAACTCAACCACATCAAAGCCACCTGAGGAAGGTGTCACATACAGTCACAGTCACACAGTGACCAACCGAGTCCCTCAAAGGAGTGCACAGTGACACACATGGTTGACTTGAGGCCGTGACACCCAGAGACCCACCAGGCAGTGGCTTCTATATGGTCACACTGAAGCAAGCACATTCAGACTCTCAGACACACGTGCTGAGGTCTCAGGGTCCCACATGGCCACATATATCCATGATAGCTGTCTCCATGCAGTCACACACAGATCACGAGCAACAAACCACAGGTATGCAGCAACCATCCCTGTCTCTGTCTGCCTAGCGCCCATTGGCACTCAGAACCTGTCTCTGGAACTCACACACATGGCAGAGGCAACACTCCTTTCTATACACATGGTTGCACAAACACAGCCACAAGGTCACATGCAGCCACAACTGCATAGCTCCCACACCAGGTACAGAGCCACACCCAAGTCACAGGGAGTCACACACACACACACATTCTGTTACACACCAATCAGACGGCCTCAGCCACACAGGGATCAGCCACACAATCACATACACCATCATGCAGACACACGGGTCCATGAAACCTCTCGCACTCAATTTTGATGGCAGTTGGGCCCTGGGGTGGGAGCCCAAGAGTGTGATTCACACAGTGCTCCACCCCTCCCTCCTCTTTGTGGCCCCTCCCTGGCATCCTCCTTTGTAAGCACTCACTGTGTGGAGTTGGCCAGGCTTTTTGGTGAGACCCCACACATTGCCTCGGAGAGGCCTGAGTTCCACCAATGCCTTCAGCACAGTGTCACTTGCACTGAGCCAGTGAACAAAGTGTTCCAAATAAGGTCCCTATTTCCCACTGCAGGGATATCTGTTTCTACAGGAGCACTTGAGTGACCTTGAGAGAACTTGGTCCAAACACCTACCTGTTTCAGGCTTCATCCTTAAGGACCTGCCTACCTCCCACACTTTAATTTCTTTTGGAGGCTGGAGAGATGGCTCAGCAGTTAAGAACACTGACTGCTCTTCCAGAGTATCCATGTTCGATTCCCAGAACCCACACGAAGGCTCACAACTAGCTGTAACTCCAGTTCTAGAGGATCTTATACCCTCTCTGACCTCTGCAGGCATCGAAGTAGTGCACAGACACATATACAAACAAAACACCAATTTATATAAAAAAAATTTAAATTTTTGAAAAATTAAGAAAACCTCCTTTGGTTTATCAGTGTTTGGGGGGAGGTGCTAAGGTGGGGAGGTTTGCTGATTCTCACATAATTGACACTACTTATGACAGAGGTATGGGAACAGACCCAGGGAAGACTCCCTGTGGACTTGGCCTTCTCTTTGGGGGGAGGGAAATGAGCTTTGAAAGATAGCTGGTTTAGACCAGGTATAGTGGCGCACATCTTTAATTCCAATACTTGGGAGTCAGAGGCAGGTGGATATTTGTGAGTTCAAGGCCAGCCTGCTGTACATAGTGAGTTCAAGGACATCCAGGGCTACTAAGTAAGACCTCATTTGGGGGGGGCGGGAGTAAAAAATACAAACAACAAAAAACAAAAAGACAGACAGTGGTGACACAAGCCTTTAACCCCAGAACTTGGGAAGAAAACAAAGATAGCTTAAAGATACACTATACTAGAGTCCAAACAGCTGGGTTTTCATCCAATTTAGTATGTCACCTTAGGCCAGTCTCCTGAGGGACACTGCTGAAAAGTTTTCCCATCAAGATGTTTATTAATATAATAATATAATAAACTTCCAATGCCACCCCATCTCTCCTGATTCCAGAATTCAAAATCCGCTGGTTCTGGGGACTTCGGGTGTCTTCTAGCTCTAAGGCCCATGGCAGTTGAGGGATGAAGGACATAGCCATGCAAGGATGGGGACCTGGCTTTGAATCACATAAAAAGTTGAACATGGCACACATGCCTGTGATGCCAGCACTGGACAGGTGTGACAGGAATATCCCATGACTCCCTGGCCAGCAGTGGAGCTGAACTGGTGAGCTCCAGGTTCAGTGGACAGAGATTGAGAAAGACACCTGATATTGACCTCTGGCACACACACACATACACACAGAGAGACCATGGTAGTTGAGCAGCCCCACAGGGTGGAGACTGAGGGCTTGTCCACAGGCTGCCAAGGGCCCCTCCCTGCCCTGCTGGGCGCCTGGCACTCAGAGGCCACCACCACCTTCCAGGCTAAGCCACGTCATCTTGCTGGTTTGGAGGCTTGGGCCAGCTTGGAGTTTGTGGTTGAAACAGGTGGTGACCGAGTCAGAACTTTCCAGCCTGACGCTCAGAAGAGGCTGGGTTTCCAGGGTGGGCTGGACTATCTGAGGATTCCTGTCACCTTTACAGGGCTAAAGATGCCAAGGTCCTCCAGGACCCAGGACAGACGACGCCCCAATCCCAGGCCTGGGTGTAGGGTACTTGCCTAGGAGGGGACAGAGCAAAGGCAAGGAAGTTCCCTGAGACCTCAGTGAGGGCTCTGTTTGTTTTTCACTCAGTTTCTTGTGTTGAGTCAATTGCTTCCTGGTTCTACTTAGCTGTTTTCCTGATATTTAGGGGACAGAGTCATACAACATTAGTGGGCACACAGCACATTCCTCTAGCCTGTGATGCAGCCCCCAATCACACACATCATCACAAAAACCATGTTACTGGCTTTCCATGGGCTGGCGCTCTGCTGGGCCCATACTGTTTCATTTCATTTTCTAATAACCTTATGCATAGCATAGCTGTTATTAACTCTATCCTACAGATACGAAAAGTGAAAATTGGAAATACTACGCCACCTTTTCAGGGGTACTTAGCTGATAAACTGGAGAGTTGGGGTTCAAATCTCTTGTGCCTGCTCTAGAGTCCTTCAGCTACCTCTCACAGCCTCCATGGAAACCCCTCTAGACACAGAGACTTACAGATCCTTAACAAGACAGCCTCTGTGTTGAAAGAAGCCAGCCTAAAGCTCAGCTTCTCACTGCAGTAGAGGACACAAGATGCACCAGGAAGACTTAGGCTGAGTCTGGGCTGTTCAGAAAGTATGTTATTAAAAATAACTTTATATGGTACCTGCTTCTCCATTCTATTTGCTGTCTTGCATTCTGGCTTTAAAAGTTGGAGAGGGCCCATCAGAGAATTCAGTAGTATAGGTGCTTGTCACCAAGCCTGACAACCTGAGTTTGATCCCTGGAACCTATATAGTAGGAGAGAACCAACTTCTAAAAATTGTCTTCTAGTGTCCTCACCAGTGGTAGAATGGGGGCCAGTGGCATGGGAGTGCTAGGACACACACACACACACTCAAATAAATAAATAAATAAATAAATAAATAAATAAATAAATAAATGTAAAAACAAGCAAACAAAAAAGATTTAAACCCCCCACAGACATACACACAGATTAGGTGGGGCAGTGGTAATGCACTCCTTTGATCCCGGCACTCGGAAGGCAGAGGCAGGTGGATCTCTGTGAGTTTGAGGTCAGCTTGGTCACAGATTGAGTTCAGGACAGCCAGAGCTGTTACACAGAGAAACCCTGTCTTTAAAAAACAAAACAAAACAACACACGCGCGCACACACACACACACACACACACACACACAAAAAAAAAAAAAAAAAAAAAAAAAAAAAAAACAGTCCTACAGAATTAGTGGGCAGCCCCTCTTGGGTTTGCAGAGAATTCTGACCTCCCACCTCCTTTGTGGGATCAGTTGCTTGTTTCACTCCAAGCCTTGCCTGTTCATTATCCTTGCCTGCTTGCAGGAGTCTGGCTTTGCTCAGGCCACCACCAATTCTCTTGCCTGGCCCAGAGAGACCCATTAGCAGCTGGCCATTGGTGTCTTGTCTGTCTCTCCTCCTTTGTCCACTTAAGAGTCTACCAGAATATTCTGGGAAAACCCAGAGAACTGCTCCCCAGAGTCAAGAGGCTGGGGTTCTAATCCCAGCTCTTTCACTTCGTTGTGCAATGTTGGGCAAGGCCCTAGGCCACTCTGAGCACGGGTTTCCTCATCTGTGAAATGGGGACAGAAATACTTGCCGCACCTGACAGGGTGAGGCTTAGCTGAGATCCTGAGAGTGAAGGCATTCCACATGCCACTCAAGGACCCTCAGAGGACATAGGAGGAACCTAGGGTGACTTTAGGAGTGGCTGGAGAATCAAAGTTGTCTTAAGCATCTCAGGATGCAGAACACTGTGTCAGAAGCTGCCTGTGGAAACGGAGAGCCGGGATAGGCTTAGCTTTGTGCCTGCATGAATTCTACAACCTGGAGTAACACCTCCATCCATCACCAAGTCTTCTGGACTCAAATGACATGATTACATAGCCAGACTCCTGGGCTTTTATTTCTTCATTTTTCTTTGCTTTTAAAACAGAGTCCCGTGTAGCCCAGGCTGGCCTCAAACTAGCTGAAGCTGATTTTGAACTTCTGACCCTCCTGCCTCTACTTCTCAAGTGCTGGGATTAGGAACTTGTGCCACAACACCTGGCCCCCATGTGGTGCGGGGGATCAAAACCAGCCCAGCATTCCATCAAGTGAGCTGAGCTTTATATTCAGCTTTTGTTTCCTACTCCGTAGCAGGGTCCTACTACGGAGCCCAGGCTAGCCTTGAACTTCCATATGGGGTGTGTGTGTGCTCAAACACCATTGTGACCATCCATGCACACCCATGGTATATTAGGTGTCATCGTCTATCACCTTTTTTCCCCCTTTGAGACAGAACCTGAATCTTGCCATTTCAGCCAGGCAGTTCCCGAGAGCTGCTCAACTCTATCCCCCAACAGTTATCAGCATGTCCAGCTTTTGCATAGGTGCTGGAGATTTGAACTCAATTCCTCTTGCATTCACAGCAAGCACTCTTAGCCACTGTGGCATCCCCAGACCCCAAACCCCAGTCCCCAGCCTTGGACCTTTGATCCTCCTGCCTCAAGTCTCCTGGGTGACAGGCATATGCTACCACACCCAGAATGCAAAACCCTTTTAAATCAGTTTGGGTATGGCACCAGGCAGGTTAGGTACAGTAGGTGAGCTGAGGAGGGCGTCTGGATATGTGAACCCCAGACTACAAGCAGTTACCAGGTAATTGACTGAATCTTCACAGTCCTTGGAGGCCCGGCTTGTCATTGTGTCACTTCACAGATGAGGAAACTGAGACCAGTGAAGTTTTACTTGTCCAAGTCACTACAGGGTGGAGGCAGGATTAGAATTCAGACTGACTGGGTCTCCGGGCTGGTGTGCTCCACCTGGCTGCACTGGGGGAAAGGCCAGGATCCAAGATGACAGCCTCCTGAAAGAACAGCAGGAGGGAAAGGCAGCAGCTGGAACCTTTGGCAGAAACCTGTCTCTTGTTTGTCACCCTGTGGCCTCAATGGAACCCCTGACACTGGGATTTCTGATAGAAGAGACAAAGCCATATCCCCGCCACACCTTCCCCCCACACACTCATTTTCATTCATTTATTTAGTCCGTGTTCACAAATCGTTTAGCACGTGTCAGCCCTATACTATGTGCCATGTTCACACCTTGCAGGACTCTATCCGTGTCTTGGTAGAGCAAACCCCACCGAGAGCATGTGACTGGAAGTAAAGCCAAGAGGCAATGGCGGCCCAGCCCTGCACAAAGGGGACTCTGAAAGGATGCTGGAATACAAATATCCCACAAGGGAAGCAAGAAACTGAAGGACAGCTTGATGTGGCAGAACAGATCTGTAATCCCAGCACTTAGGAGATTGAAGCAGGAAGATCATGAGTCTGAGCTCAGCCTGGGATAGATGTGGAACCCTGTTTCAAAGAGCTTAAGGCCAGTGCGGTTCCATTCATGCCAAAGTCACCAGCGGACAGAAGCAGAAATCAGAGGTGAGAAACCTAGAAGGAAAAGCATGGAAAGGTGTGCAAGCCAGGGTGTCTCAGGAGGGAGGGCTGTGATCCAGGAGGGTCCCTCAAGGGATGCCAGGGTGTCTGAGGAGGGAGGGCTGTGATCCAGGAGGGTCCCTCAAGGGATGCCTGGAAAGTTTTGTTTCTTGGCCCACGTACCTAGTTTGTAAGTATTTCTCCATCATGTGTTGTGATTTTTTGAGATAGGGTTTCTTTCTCTGTGTAGCCCTGGCTGTCCTGGAACTCACTCTGTAGACCAGGCTGGCCTCAAACTCAGAGATCTGCCTGCCTCTCCCTCCAGAATACTGGGATTAAAGGCCTATGCCACCACTGCCCAGCATGATGTTGTTATGTCTTAAATTCACTAATTCTGTCTCTCTCTCCCTCTCCCTCTCCCTCTCCCTCTCTCTCTCTCTCTCGCTCGCCCTCTCTCTCTCTCGCTCGCCCTCTCTCTCTCTCGCTCGCCCTCTCTCTCTCTCGCTCTCTCTCTCTCTCTCTCTCTCTCTCTCTCACACACACACACACACACACACACACACACACACACACGTGCACACAGCGAGTGACTGAATTCACTGAGTGGAATCTACATCAATCTCCCATGTGTGCTATAGACTCTGTACGTAACAAGTTCATAAGAAGAATACAATGGACAGGTGGTGGTGGCACACACCTTTAATCCCAGCACTTGGGAGGCAGAGTCAGGAGGATCTCTGTGAGTTCGAGGCCAGCCTGGTCTACAGAGTAAGTGCTAGGACAGGCTCCAAAGCTACTCTGACAGAGAAACCCTGTCTCAAAAAACAAAAAACAAACAAAAAGCACACTCCCAGGTGTGATAGCAATCCTCTATAATTCCAGTACTGAGGAAACCAAAGCAGGAGGAATTTAGGGTTCCAAGGCTACACAGTGAGACCTTGCATCCAGAAAGAGAGAAGAGATGAAGGGAGGGAAGGAGAGAGAGGGCAAGCTGGAGCCAGAGTGGGATGTGTGGTCCAACACAAAGTGTGGCCTCTTTTCCAAGGCCAGGACTTACTCCCCAAAGGGCACAGGGACCAAGAGGGTCAAAGTTTTTTCCAGGTTCACTGGCAGACTATCTGCCTAAAGGCACAAGGCTCCAGCACAACACAAATAAAGAAATGAATGGGAAAATTTTTTAAATATACAAAACATAAGAAACACCACTTCTTTTCCATGATTGTTTGGGAAAAATTGAGCCCCAGACTCCAGGACTTACCCCCCCCCACACACACACCTTCTCTCAGCCCAGCAGAAACCAGAGTGGAGCCAAGAACACTGAGTCAGGAGGCCTACACTGGAAAGCCAGAACACAAGTCCAGGTTTCCCTGACAAGACATTTCAACACCTGCCTCGGTGTCTTCCCCCTGTAAATGGAGCTAGAGAAACAATGTACTTCACAAGCTGTTGCAGTGTCAAAGGCTTTAGGGAATACCATGTACACAGCCCATGTTTTAATGTTTATTTTATTTTTTCTTGTTGAGGTATGGGACACAAGCCATATCACACATACGGAGGTCAGAGAACAACTTGAGGGAGCCACTTCTCTCCTTCCACCAAGTGGGGCCTGAGCCATGTTGCTGACCCATGTTGCATACTTTTAAATCCTCAGGCATCTGTCTCCCACCCCAACCACCGGAGTTTTCAGGAGGGACTCAGAACAAATCTGTACTCTCAAAGTCTCACCAGCCCTGGATTCTAGTGTTCCAGCTTGGAGCTTCAGGCCCAAGCTTCAGAGTGATTCCAGGAGCAAGTTTACCAAGTTGGAGGAAGCCAGGCCGGGGAGGTGGCATTCCAGGCGGCATGTCAGCAAGTGAGTCAGGGCTGGGCTGGCCCTTTCTGGGTCCCTGGAGGTGGGGGAGGGCTTGCCTTCCTGGCTCTGGGCCCAGGCTGGGTTGCTCATTTGCATATATCTGCATGTATGTAAGTTTCACCTGCTTACATTGGCAGGGCTGGGAAAGACACCTGTGCAGAAGGCACTGACAAGTCCATGTGGCTGGCTGCCCGCTGGAGCCTCAACCCAGAATCTTGGTTCATGCTTCACAGACCCATCAAACACTTGGAAATCTCTTGGCTTTTTCCCTGGGGTTCCCTGGTTGTCCAAGCCAGGAGCTTCAGTCACTCTGCCTCCCCCACCCCTACTACAGTCACCAAGCCCCCTTGGGAGCTGTCTCTGGGCCACTTTTCTCTTGGCTCCCTTCCTCTCTATTGCCTCTGCCACCATACTCTTGGGAGATTCCCTCCTCACCGAACACCTACATGCCGCAAGCACCTCTTCCTCAATTCTCTGCCACCTGACCCCCTTCCCCAATCCGCCATGGTACCCAATGTGCCCCTGGGAAGCCCCTCTGCTTCAATGCGGGTTCTACCTTCCCACCACTCAAGGCCATCCCAAGCTCTTGGTAGAACACTGAGATCCTTCGAAGCCTCCCTAGCTCCAATCACTTTCTCCACCTGAAGCTGGGTGAACAGAGTCCCTGCAAGTGCTGATTCTGTGCCTCAGTTTCTTCACAGTGAAGCAAGGATAAGAATCGGATTCCCTTACAGGGTGGTGTGGCACATGAATTCCAGTTGTAACAAGTCACTGTTATTAATATTATTTCTTTTCTTGCTGCCTTCATAGAGGACGTTGCTCCCCGGGGGTCTCCTGCTCCCTTTTAGGCCTTCTCAGTCACCCAGCAGTTATGACAGCCAGCTGGCTGAGGATTCCAATTGCAGCTCTTGGAAAGGGTATGTGGCCCTTTTGTGCCTCAGTGTCCTGGTTTGTAAAAAGGGGGATAACAGAGATATCTCTATTAGATATCAACTCTACCTTGTATAGAAATATTGTGATAAAGAGAGGCTTGTGATAAAGCCTTAACATAGCCGGGCGTTGGTGGCACACGCCTTTAATCCCAGCACTCGGGAGGCAGAGGCAGGCGGATCTCTGTGAGTTTGAGGCCAGACTGGTCTCCAGAGCGAGTGCCAGGATAGGCTCCAAAGCTACACAGAGAAAAACCAAAAATAAATAAATAAATAAAGCCTTAACATAGACAATATACGGTGCTGCAATCATTATTGTTATCTAAAACATAGGTCTCAAATTCCCATAGCGTCCCTTCTGCCTCTAAGGCCCTGGGACAGGCTCCCCCTCATCCCTTAATACTGTCGCCAGATAACAGGCCTTCATCTGGATCCTCCAGTGTCCCAGACATTGAGGACCAGGACCCAGCCCTCTAGTTCTTTTTTATGAAAAGCCACAAAGGCCCCATTGGGTTGAATGACGGTTGATGACGGTTATGAATATAGGCTCAGCTCCCCCTCCACAGTAATTTTGGGGCACATGCCATCCAGAACTTGGGCTGCAGAGAGCTAATGGACAGTTGCCACTGCCTCCCCCTCACACACACATACACACAGCACGGAGCCTGGGAGGGAGGGCAGTCCAGCCCAATTGGCCTAAGCAGTTGCAAATGTTAACAGTGCATTTCCACTTGGTCCATGCTTTCCCAAAGAGCCGCTGACCCTTGGCACAGCCCCCACCCTCCGTCACAGACTTCTCTGCCCTCTTTCTTCTCTCTCACCACCTCCTCCAGCTCTTTTCAACAGCAGTTGAAGAACTCCAGGCTGGGTTCTCTTCCAAATGGGACTGCAGAGGGTATTCAATGATGCAGTGTTGAAGGGCCCTGGGGTGGATATAGGAGACACTTTTCTTCCGATTACCACATGGGCCTTGGTCCCTCCTCCTGGACAGCCTTCCCAGTTTTTAGCCCGGTGGGGGTGGGCTTGAAAGAGAGGGAGGGGTGACAATGTACTCCTTCTAACCTTCTTTCTCCACCCTCCTGGTGTAAACAGAGGGAAAGTCTTTGTGGATTTTGTTTCTTCTTAGGCAGGTTGTGTGTTGTTTTGCAGACATCGTTTGTCTCATTTTGGGAATGAGGGCTGATTTTGCAGGGCTCCCTGTCCCCCAAAGCAATATTCTCCCATCCTCCCAAAGCCAGAGCTACAGAGGTGAGGCAGATAGTCCCAAGGACTCCAGTGCAAAGTAGCATCCTGGATGGCCAACATCCTACCTCCTTTTGAATAAAGAAAAAAAAAGTGCAGACTGACAAGGAATATGATCTCCACTGTGCAAGTGAAAGCAATAACCCCCACAAATTACAGAGACCCTTCGCTCTCTCAGGGGGTCAGGAAGGCAGGGTGAGCCTGTGTGTGTTTAAAAGGCAGTGTGCACAGTGCATGTGAAGGAAGTGTGTGGGGTGTGTGGGGGGGTGGGGGTGTATGAAGAGAATGGGAATGGTCGCCTGTAAGTGTGTGCGGGTCCGTGTCTACGGGTTCTGCTCTGTGTGGTGGGTGCCCCTGCACGCACTGCCTTCCCCATTCGTTGCCCGCTACAGGCGTTTCCTAGCTCCATGTC